CCAGACGGAACCTTTGCTCTGAAGTGGGAACAGCTCGTACAATCGCTGTCTAATTACTGCGGCAACACAAATTCAAAAGAGGCAAATAAATCTATGAATGACACGTGTAATTAACATCCAGTGCATAGAGGATGAGGCCTGCGGCGGTACACGGCGGTACACGGCGGACGCAATCTGTGGATTTGGAGAGCGTGGGTTCCTAAATGAGGGTGGACGTACAGACAGGGAAACACTGAGCTGTGATTAGGGCTGTGAGGCGTTAACATGGTCTCTGCATCTCCAACACAAGAGACAGACACGGTAAAAATGTACATCTTTGTCCAATAGATGGTTTTAATAATGGGCCACTGTTTTAATAATGGGCCACTGTTTTAATAATGGGCCACTGTTTTAATAATGGGCCACTGTTTTAACAATGGGCCACTGTTTTAATAATGGGCCACTGTTTTAATAATGGGCCACTGTTTTAATAATGGGCCACTGTTTTAATAATGGGCCACTGTTTTAATAATGGGCCACTGTTTTAATAATGGGCCACTGTTTTAATATTGGGCCACTGTTTTAATAATGGGCCACTGTTTTAATAATGGGCCACTGTTTTAATAATGGGCCACTGTTTTAATAATGGGCCACTGTTTTAATAATGGGCCACTGTTTTAATAATGGGCCACTGTTTTAATAATGGGCCACTGTTTTAATAATGGGCCACTGTTTTAATAATGGGCCACTGTTTTAATAATGGGCCACTGTTTTAATAATGGGCCACTGTTTTAATAATGGGCCACTGGGTTCATGCTGTGGATTATAATGGATAAGATACGGGATTTTTATTTAACTTATTATCATGCGACATAAGGTTTACTTTTAAAATCACTGGAAATGACAGTAAGTCTTAAGTCTCCGAAACACTTATTTTTGTGTGTTTTACAATTGTTATTTAAGATGTTGCAGGGACTGGCCTCCTGCTGGGACTCTGAGGAGCACAGGGACTGGCCTCCTGCTGGGACTCTGAGGAGCACAGGGACTGACCTCCTGCTGGGACTCTGAGGAGCACAGGGACTGGCCTCCTGCTGGGACTCTGAGGAGCACAGGGACTGGACTCCTGCTGGGACTCTGAGGAGCACAGGGACTGGCCTCCTGCTGGGACTCTGAGGAGCACAGGGACTGGCCTCCTGCTGGGACTCTGAGGAGCACAGGGACTGGACTCCTGCTGGGACTCTGAGGAGCACAGGGACTGGACTCCTGCTGGGACTCTGAGGAGCACAGGGACTGGCCTCCTGCTGGGACTCTGAGGAGCACAGGGACTGGACTCCTGCTGGGACTCTGAGGAGCACAGGGACTGGCCTCCTGCTGGGACTCTGAGGAGCACAGGGACTGGCCTCCTGCTGGGACTCTGAGGAGCACAGGGACTGGCCTCCTGCTGGGACTCTGAGGAGCACAGGGACTGGACTCCTGCTGGGACTCTGAGGAGCACAGGGACTGGCCTCCTGCTGGGACTCTGAGGAGCACAGGGACTGACCTCCTGCTTGTGCCCAGATTCAGAACTAAACATGGGGAGGCTACATTTCAGATTCATGCAGCTAAAATCTGTAAGAGTCTTCCTGAAAATGTGAGACAGGCTTCTTCTCTGACATTGTTTAAATCCAGGTTATGTGTATATATTTATTTTAACGCCTTGTCTTGTGTATGAACTGCCACGCCACTGTTGTACACGATTTTGGTGGTAGCGGAAACCGGAGCACCCTCAGGAAACCTATGCAGACACAGGGAGAACATGCAAACTCCACACAGAAAGGCCTGGAAGTGGAATCAAACCCAACGAACCCAGAAAGAATCAACAAGTACTGGGCTCATACATTCTTTTACTACTTGTTGCAAATGTACATAGCAGAGTAGCTCGGGCAGTGTGACAATAGACAGCTTTAGACATAGTTCCACAAAGAAACAGCATTTTGAAAACCCGGGAAAGCTCAGTAAATGATTTCTTCGCAGCAGTGCGGACTCTGAATAGGTGCAAGTCCTTGGGCCCGGCAGCAGATCCATTATGTCAGAGGGCAAGTCCACACAATTGGTCTCCTTTTCTTTCCGAGCGCCGCTGAGACTTCCCATCAGCCCTTGCACCGAGCTCCCTCCCTGATAGAGGCGAGTCGGTCGTGGTCATTCCTCTCTGTGCGAGCGAGAAAGAGAAGGCAGGTCATTTACTAATCTCCCCAAAGCTGCCGTCACCGCAGGCTCAGGTCTGGACACACGGAGAATACTGCACGGGAAATACTGGACTGGATCAGGACCTGGATCAGGACCTGGAGTCGGTCTGGTCTGAGTTTTAAGTGGAACTGCAGGATTTTTGTGTGATTTTAGTTCTCATGGATGGTGGAGGTGGACAGACTGAGCTATATACATTTAATTCAACTGCTTTACAGACTCTATAGGTCAGGCATGTCAAAGTCAAATACATCTGAGGGCCAAAAAAAAAATGTTTGCTACGCGCCGAGGGCCGGACTGGTTCAATGTTTCTCAACATCCAGAGGCAGTGCCGGTGACACCTGTTGGCTCGATAAAATATGCTCTAAAGCCAATCCTCATACTGTACATATTAGATGTAATAGACATCTGAGAACATGAAAATAGTAAAAAAATAAAAAAGCTCAAACTTGGTGAAATGTAAAAGAGCAGTCTGGACCTCTTTTCGGGGCGTTTTTTGATTAAATCTGAAGAATGGATTATACTTTGGGAAATACAAGTGGATATTCTTCTTCAATGAACAGTTACGGAGAGAAAGCGACTAAGCAAGGATGGGGAAAGTCTAATTTGTTGCAGCAGCAAAAGACGAAAGGTAAAAAACAAATACAGACTGATTTATTTTGTGCTCATATTATGCGTTATATCTTTTTAATGCAAAGTCTGATATCGTTTACACTTACATATAAATATAGCTGAGAAAATAATCTTTAAAATGATATATAGCTTGTGGCTTATGAAGTTCAAAATACATCTGCTATTGCCAGCAGAAGTATTTTTTTCCTCGTTTGCTCCCGCCGGCGGGGGCTAGCGAGCTTAAGGGGTCAATACATTGCCTCAATGGCAGGCAATGTCCCGGGGGCCATAGATAATTCATTGACTTTGACACATGTGCTATAGGTCCTATTTAAAACAGACAGACAAGACCAACATGAACAGTTGGGACGGGGGCGGCACGACACCTGGGTTCGAATCCCGGTCGGAACAAGGCCTTTCTGAGTGGAGTTTACATGTTCTCCCCATGTCGGCGTAGGTTTCCTCCGGCTGCTCCGGTTTCCCATATCCCTCAAAAACAAGTACAATAGGTCTGTGCCTCCTGTACTGGCCCCTCCCTTCTCTGTGTGGAGTGACAGACTAATGCATAAAAATAACAATTGTAAACCGTTTTGTGACTCTGGACTCAGGCGGTATATAAATAAATATGACTTACTTATTTAAAAGACAGTCATTCCATCCATTTTCTTCCCATGTCTGGGTGGGGGGACTGCCACCCCAGTCTCAAAGCACCAGTCCCTCACTAACCCCTGCAGGTGGTGGGTCTGTCAGTGAGAGCATACCCTTGGTCTTTCAGCGGGGGCTTCAGGCAAAGTGGGGTTCAGTGTCTTGCCCAAGGACACAACGACAGCAGACATCAGTGGGAGTGGGTTAGATTACTGCAGTTCTAATAACACCATGTTTTGTTTGTTCGAGTCTCTCCAGATTGATTCTCTTTTCCTGTTTCTAAATCTGAGAGCTATTCGTAAGATTAAGATTAAGATATACTGTATTGGTCCCACAGCGGGGAAATGTCAGTGTTGCATTACAAGTTATAGAACAGTAGGAAAGAGGCGCAGCATTAGACACAGTAAGTGAACAAGAGCTGTACTAAATAAAATCAAACTAAATCTTTAACTCTAGCATCAATAACAGTATAAAAGCAACAGAAGAGGAAGAGAGATACTCTTTTTTGGAGCCATAATGAAAATATATTTGATAATTATGACAAAACATGGAAAACAGATGTAAAAATGTACCATACTACTGTTATATTTATAAGTATTGACTCAAAAGTGAATTATTCAAGATCATATGTTAAATTCTAAATCATTTGGGGAGCTACCTGAAAGTGGCGGGGGAGCTACTGGTTGGAGACCCCTTTTCTCCAATCAATCAAAAATAAAACCAGCTGTTAAAAACCGATTTTGTCCACGTTCCTTGGTTTTGGAGAACTCCTTCTGAAACCTTTCCTTGCCACAGTTAAATGTGTTTAAGTAAATGCAAACTCTAAACAAAGCGGCTCTATTTATTTAAAGCCACAGTGGTTTCAGGCCGTTATGAAGAGAAATGAGCACTCGCACACGGCGGCTGTTTATGGAGCGAGGCTGCGGCTAACAGCAATGCATTATGGGTAAGTGGGAGGAGGAGGCTTTTCTCTGTTAAGAACACGACGTCTATCTCACACAATGATCATTAGGAAAAACAGCTTCGGCCTCAGAGCAGAGAGAAGTAACTCCGGCTTTGTCTGACTCCCAGAGCAGTCAATTTGACGGCTTTTAGTTTCCACGGCGATATTACTCGCCGTATGTACCTTGTTGATCTCCATAACGTCACTTTTTCTACTTTTTACTTAGTTCTGTATGTAGTTTATTTATATGTTGATATTTTTATGAAATAGCTCTGATGTGTTTGTTATTATTACATTTTCTTAATTTCCACCTGCGCAACATCTCCAAGTTCAGACACATGGTCTCAGACACATGGTCTCAGACACATGGTCTCAGACACATGGTCTCAGACACATGGTCTCAGACACATGGTCTCAGACACATGGTCTCAGACACATGGTCTCAGGTCAGGAGCTGGAGATGATTGTACACGCTTTTGTTTCCTGGCGATTGGATTATTGTAACAGCTGTTTACATGTCTTAATAAGAAAGACCTGGCTCGTTTACAAGTCATCCAAAATTCTGCTGCGAGGCTTTTGACCCGCACCCACTGGAGAGCTACCACAGGAGAGCATCCACAGGAGAGCACCCACAGGAGAGCACCCACAGGAGAGCTACCACAGGAGAGAGCACCCACAGGAGAGCTACCACAGGAGAGCACCCACAGGAGAGCACCCACAGGATAGCACCCACAGGAGAGCACCCACAGGAGAGTACCCACAGGAGAGCTACCACAGGACAACACCCACAGGAGAGCTACCACAGGATAGCACCCACAGGAGAGCACCCACAGGAGAGCACCCACAGGAGAGCCCACATTACTCCTATCTTGAAGGCCTTACACTGGCTCCTGTCTCAAACAGAATACATTTTAAAATTCTGGTGCTGACATTCAGGGCCTGATCCACCCCTATGTCTCCAACAGAACCCTGAGGTCCTCCACTCAGAACCTGTTGATGGTCCCCCACTCAGAACCTGTTGATGGCCCTCCACTCAGAACCTGTTGATGGTCCCCCGCACTCGCTTTAAAACCAGATGAGACAGATCCAGGCAGTTGCTCCTCGCCTCTGGAATGAGCTTCCTCAGCCTCTGCGTATCTTAAGCCTAGCGTACATCGACAGAGAAACTGGAGACAACTAGTTGCAAGGCGGCTTTTGGCAACTGAGAGGAGATGATGGGAGATGATCAGTTGCCGAAATCGGTCGATGTGAGCGCTCTTACAACTGGAGATGATCAGTCGGTCTCCAGTTTCAGTCAGTTGCCCGTGTTCTACTTTTTGGCAACTAGTTGTCCTCAGTTCCGGAGATATCTCCCGATGTGCGCGCTCCTGGCGCACAACATGTGTTTAGAGTGTTATCATGTGACGTAGGCGCCTTCACGTGACTTGTTGCGCTAAAACAAAGTAAAATGGCGACTGAACATGAATGGACGGAGATTGCGGAGGATGATTTCGTGGCAATGTGGCGTGAGAGACCGTGTCTCTTTGACACATCAATCAAAGCATACTCCAATAGGAACACTAAACGTGAGGCTCTGGAGGAAATTTCTTTCAGACTCGGCAAAACAGGTAATTCCATCTCGACTTTTTTCTGTTCAATTCATCCATTCATTTATTCATGACTCGCCTATTAAATGCATATTGTAATACTCCCAGGTAAGAAATGCTCGAACAGTGCTTTTCAAGATGCTTTTATTCACAAACTGTTAGGACAAGCTGTTGGCCACAGATCACGCTTAACTCACAACACACACTCCCGACGTGTAAACACGGGGAAAAAGCCTCCCACCCCCGGTAAAACGCTCTACCTTAACCAGAGCACTTCCCTGTGGTTGTAAACAGACAACCCAGAACTATAACAATATGATGGACGCGGTACATGAACAGATTCATTGTTGCCTCCCTACTTGACATAAATAAGCCTACTGTTTGTTGTCACACATTGTCATTGGATATCAAGCATGCCCGCCACGAGGACGAGGTAGCCACTCACTAATCAGTCTGTTCTACATTAAATAGATGAGCCTATAGGCATAGCCTACCCTGTTAGTAAAAAGATTGTTTTATTTGTTTTAATTATTCATAGGGTTGGCCTTCAATGCAAAATTATGCTACTGTTATGACTAGTTACACATTACATTCCTTTTACTATAATCCTCTATTTTTTCATATTTACAGTCAAAGATATCACCAAAAAAATGAAGAATATGAGAACCCAGTTCAGCAGGCTCTCAAAAGCACCACCCTCTGGAAGTGGAAGACGTGGCCTCACACAGCACCAGAACTGGATTGTGAAGAATTTTGAGTTTCTTCGGCCTTACATGAAATTGAGGGAGACACAGTGATCATTCCAGGTACGATTTTTATGGATGTTCAAATTTAAAAGAAAATGTTTATTAAAAAAGGAGCAAATCAGAAATGAATTTGACATGGTGTTTATTTACATTTTTCAACATTAGCATGAATGCAATCAGATTGTCTATATTTTACTTTCTTGCCAATCAACAGCACCCGCTGGGCTCATACAGAACTCCATCAACACATCACGTTTTGATTTGGGTTGTTGACCACTATTGTTACTGTGATGTATTCCCCTAGACTGTAGTTGTGTGTCATTTCTCCAGGTCCCTGGGGTTACATCATGTGTTGTTGTCAATTCTTGGTCCACAAGTCCTTGGCTCAGATAATGTCCATCATTTTTCACAATCAGGAAATTGTGGAGTGCACGTGCACACATAACTATGTTCTCCACAACATTTGGTTCCAGGAACATCCTATTGAGAAAAACTCTGAATCGACAACTCAAAATGCCAAAAGCATTTTCAACCACACGCCTAGCTCGAGACAACCGATAGTTGTAAATCCTCTGTTCCTTGTTCATGAAAGGAAATGGCTTCATTAGATCATCTCGTAGGGGGAAGGCATCATCCCCAATAATGTGGTATGACACTGGGCTCTCTCCACCAGGAAGTTGTGTCGGCTCTGGTTTATTTGCCAATAGTCTGTTCAGCGCTTCTGCCAGAGAACATCCAGCAAATACACCCCCATCAGAGATCCAGCCATTGCATCCAACATCAACATATATAAACTTGTAATCAGCATCTACAAGGCCCAATAGCACAATACTAAAGAAGTTCTTGTAGTTATAGTATAGAGAGCCTGAGTTCTGAGGGGCACGTACAGCAATATGCTTTCCATCCAAAGCTCCCAGTGTATGTGGAAAATTCCATCTTTCCATAAACCTTTTTGATATTGTAAGCCAGTCTTCCTGTGATTGTGGCATCTGAAAGCAAAAAATATTTCATGGTTACTTATTAAAACAATTTTATCTATTTCAGCTCGAGAGTAACTCTCAGGACAACACAGACGAGGAAATTGGTTTGTCGTCATCCGACGATGAGAGCACTCGGACATGTGCAAGCCCCACCCCCTCGAGCAGCAGCTTCAATATAGAAGTCCGTTCAAGAACCAGCACACCGACCTGCTCGGGATCGAGCAAGGAGTTCGACCCCCCTAATCCACCGGCTACTAAAAAGAGGAGGGTGAATCCAGGGCCAACTGAGAGAGCAGCCGACCGCCTAAATAGGGAAAAGATGGCTGTGCTAAATAGCATTGCAGAGAGCATCGCGAAGCCTCTTTCCCTACCAGACATGGCAGAGGAGAGAATGGATGAGGATGATGTTTTTGGCCAGTATGTCGCCAGTCGACTCCGAAAGATAAAAGACCAAAGGACAAAAACTAGGCTGATTGCAGTTCTAAACAATGCAATTTCTGAAGCTGAGCTGTCCATCTTAGACGCTATGATGCCTAACTTCACAAATCAATCACCCCAACAGCCAGCTCACTATCAGGCTGGGGGATACGTGCACTTTTTAAATTCATAAATTCATGTTGTTATTGCTGTGTTATTGCTGTGTTATTGCTGTGTTATTGCTGTGTTATTGCTGTGTTGTTTGAAAATAAATACTTACTTTCATATAATCATCTTTTAGCACATTGTATATGGCAGAACACGTTTCACGAACTATCTTCCCAATTGTAGTCGATCCAAGCCGGAACGAGTACCCAAGACTTTTGTATGATTCACCTAGAAAACATTACATTTTTACTAAAGTTACATAAGGATTGCAAAACAGTTTATTCAAAAGTAAATTAATCAATTTCAGTACAAACAATTATTCTTCCATTATTAACATAATATAAATCATTCTTACATAAAAGTGAATGTCGACTCACCAGTTGCTAGGAATCTCAGTGTGACTGCCAATCTTTCTCCTGCCGATACTGCCCTTCGAAAATTGGTGTCTTGTTTAGAAATTAATGGCTCCACCTTCTCTAACAACTCAGAAAATTGTTCTGGCCCCATTCGAAAATAATTTTTGTATGAGAGTAGATCAGTTTCTTCCAATTCCCTAACCAGATGTGGGTATGCCCCTTGCTCATCATGACGTGTAAGCCATGGCTTCATCCACAGCCGTTTTCTTTTCTGACCCTCATTGTCTTCATCAAGAAGGATCCATAGAGCAGCAGCTGCACGTTGCCGCCTTTCTTTCTCGAGCAAGTACCTCTTCCTGATATTTAGCTTCATAATCTGTTAAGGAAAGTAAATTACATTTTAAGATTCCATGTTTTGTGTAATACATTCAAATAACTGGAACTATGTATAAGAAAAACATAGCCTAATTTTCTTTTTATAAATTGTATATTGTAAGCCTATTGATTAAGATGTATTTTTGGTTTTATTTGTATTAACTAACAAGACTTAGCATTGCAGAGCATAGGCCTAGACAAAGTCCATACAAAACCTGTAGGCCATGCCATATTGACTTGTGTATATGAGAGACAGGGCTTCAATAGGATATGTTGGGCGTCCAACATATCCAATCCAATTCATAGATATGGATTGGATTGAATTTGAATTTACATCGTTAGTGAATGATGGTTGATGTGTGCAGAGTTGCGATCGGAAAGAGAAAATGGTTGATTGAGACAGACTGCAGTCTTTCAACAGATTAAACTTTCAATTATCAATGTTTGTTAGCATATTCATCACATTTCGTGTACTTTCATCAAGAATCACGAGCGCTAGAATTGTATAACACGTAGTGCAAATAGAATTGGTGGGGAAACATACCTTCGACTCGTAGTGCGCCATTTTGGACAGTCACGTGATATTGCGTGTTTCTTCTTCCTCTGTTTCTGTTACATTGCGTGTATAGCGCCCTCTACAGTTTATGCCAGAAAACACACTGTAGTTGAGGCCAGTTGCTGTCGATGTACGCGCTGTTATTCCCGAGACTGGCCTGCGACTCAGAGTTGCCCGTTTTCGCCAGATTGTCGATGTGTGCGGGGCAGCAACTCAGAGGCGACGGATATAATCAGTTGCCAGTCCGATGTACGCTAGGCTTTAGAGACTGTTGATGATTTTAAGTCCCAACTAAAGTCGTATTTGTTTAGACAGTCTTTCTCTCCTCACTGTTCATAGACCTCTGTGAATGTAAACTGTCTTTTCTGTGTTCTGCTTTTATCTGACTTGTGTGTGTATTTTATGTGTTTTAATCAGTGGGGGTGGGTTCCAGTGGCCAAAATGACGTGCGCTGACATGCTGCAATACCACCCCGGGCCTGTGGGGGTGGACCCAGAAGAAGAATTAGCCAATGCTAACATATAGCATTAGCAGACCTCTCAAAAACGTCTTTACAGGATGGTCCAAAAGTTGTCTCTTGGCCCAAAGCTCCGTTCCACATGTGTGTCAATGCTGAGTGTTCTGGACCAGTCTAGTTTAGTCGCTGTGGACTTTAGAAGTCTCTCGTTTAAATGAATGGAGCTGCGCCGACTGACGCATGCACAGATGCGTTTTTTCACAATTTTCTTGTTTCTTGTTCTTCTTTTTTCACATTTAACGTCCCTTTTTTCCAAGATGGTTCTGGACTTGTCCTGAACTGGTTTTTAGCTCAGTGTTCCAACAGAGAAGAGTGCGTCCTCGTTACCATAGCAACACACTGTTTACTTGCAGCAGTTAGCATTTGGTCTTTAGCATTAGCCTTTTAACAGACTGTTTTAGCTTTATTTCAGTGATATTCACCAGTTTAGCACTTATAAGTCAATAAGGGTAAAAAACAAACTTACTTTTCTCGAGGACATTTCTCAGAATTCCAAGGCAGCAGTCAAAAGACGGCTCTAGGAGTCTTAGCAGTTTCAGAATTCTGGGAGCTTTAAAATGCTAACACTAGAACTTAAAATGGTTAGCATTTTAAAGCTCACTAGAACACCCAGAGCAGTCAATTTGATTACTCCACTTATGTATGTTTTTGTTCTCAAACACTTTTTTCTGTTTCTTAATGTAGTTTAGCTCTCACTGATTAGCAGCTAATTAATCTAAAGTGTTAGCCAAACATTCTGTGTATTTATTTGTTCTTTTTTCGCTTCAAAAATTGCTAAAATAATACATATTTTTGCTGACTCAGATTCCACTTCTTGAACTAAATAAGCCTCTAACATATGAAAAAGACGCCAAACCGTCCCAAAACAGAACAAATCTTTGTCGTCGTCTGCTTGGATCCTGTAAAATGCTAACGATGAATCTTTAACTGAAAAACATTTGCCGTATTAGCCGCCGCTCGTTGAACTTGTGATTATCCAGCGTTTGTTGCTGCTGTGTTGTTAAAGCGCACTCAGACAAAGCTGACGACCCGAGCCTCCGCAGCAGAAGAAGAACCAGACGCACAGAACAAAGTGAGCCTTAACGGACGAGCGGCGGCGGCGAAGGCTCATTAGGCTAATGTGGTTTTAATCGGCAGGAGGAACTCACTTTTGTCCACGTTTGCGTTTTTAGCTCCGTCCGGTTCGGGAGGCGCCTGCCCTTTAATGCTTAAAGATCAACTAAACACCAGTGCCCAGCCTGACTCCGCCCACATGAACATTTGAAAATTCTCCCCAAAATGGGCGTTGCCCAGGAGGACCAAGGGACAAGAAGGGGGGCTTAGAGTTGGGCGTGGCGTGGGCTTTGATTGACGGCTCTCTTGTAACTATGGAGAGTGACAGTGACAGCAGCTTCGCGACCGAGCGCTCTTTTGAGGTGGAGGACTTTTCTCCGCCTTCATCACCAGAGGTGGAAGTGGAGGAGGTTAATGTGGAGGAGTCCGGCGGCCCTGAGCCGTACATGTTTGAGCCGATGGCCACCGGTGCAGCTAGCACTGACGAGCCTTCCGAGGCATCAGTGCAGCACAGAATGGGTCCCGTTACTGAATGGTACATTGGTGTTAGCATTATTGCTAATATTTTTATTTGATGTAGAACAAAAGAGATGGATATTGTGGTTAGGGTTACACACACATGACTCTGCATCAACAGGTGTTTGTGTGGAAACTGCACATCATTATCCCCAGAAGAGAACGTGTGCTGTAGGGAGACACCAAAGGTACAATAGAATAAAATTAAATAAGACATAATTATACAAATCATATTTTCCTCATTAAGTTCCCTATTTGTGGTAGGTAATGCACAGATGTCAGCAGGTGGGTGTAAACACCTGCATTACGGAGCACCCGGGGTTTGAGGCAGTTGCCCTCAACCCATATGTGCTGCAGGCAGTGTATGGCACATACTTACAGCTCTTTGGTGACATGCCAGAGACGATGGTGCACAGGTTAGTTTTTGCAGGATAATTGATTAACAATTAGGTGGTTGACAACCCATACATCTCTTCTTTCAGTAATTACCGGCACCTTGCGTACCGGAATGTGGTCAGGTGGTGTTGGGGTTACCTAGGCCAGCATATCAGAGTCGTGATCCCGTCCTGTGCTGTGACCCGTATCAGGCTGGAGTTCCCTGATTATGTGGCTTACACGGGGTTCCTCCCTGTCCTGAATTTTCATGGCCAATAAACATCAATATAAACACAAATGCCATTCTGAATTTTTTTATTGCTTGTCTTAATTTTTTTCCTTCAGATCTTATAACGTGCATATTTGTACATACAATAAGCATCCAAATATAGATTGGTGCACCAGTGGAAAAAATATATTAACAAATATACAATATACTTTGTCATATTTATATATACATTGAGCATTTAAACCACGATTGTACAGTATCTAAATGCAAACATAGATAATTGAAGTTTTTGGATGTTGAATGTGGGAATGTTCACAAGCCACTGACATTTATCTCACAACACACCAGTTGATAATAAAACCTAACAAATACTGATGGATAATGGACTGAGAGCAAGTTTAGGCACTGTCACAGCAAAAGCATGAACGCCACACTCCCTGGACCCAGTGTCAGGTGACATCACAGCTAAAGGCCTATAGGATTATATAGTAATGAGGAAGTGTTGGTCTTGTACAGAGAGATCATGGACCCAGTGACTGATTATGTTTGAAATTATATTGATTATTTTTTAGATACGACTTTTGAAAGTAATGCTGTTTATAGGAAATACCCACTAGACCCTGTGACAATCACATTTCAGAACCTGAAAGCAACCAATTCCCCAAAAAAATCACTTTACCCCTACATTACTAACAAATCTATATTCACAATCTACACTTGTATACATTTTGCGGCTACAGTGGTGCAGAGTAGAGCTGGTCATCTTGTGATTGGAGAATTGGCGGCTCAAATCACGCAGGTGCACACTGTCCTTGGGCAAGACACTTCACCCTCTTTGCCTCCATTGTCTGCATTCACTGGTGTATGGATTGGTGACTGGTTCCTCGATGTCAAGTTCTTAAAGAAAGTAGAAAAGGTGCTATATAAATGTGACAATTTGCATTCAATATGTATCTAGTGTGCAATACAGCAATTAAATGTATTACGAAAATTGATCAACACTACATTATCATCAATGTTGGCGGTACCTGAGAGTGAGGTCCATCCTGTCTTCCCACACCTCTGGTTCATAGTTAGATATGTGTCCTGGCTGACTCATGTCTGCTTTCTGAAAATATTTTTTAGTTCTTATTGGCATGCAGGCATGTCAGAAAAAAGTTATAATAGAACGATGATAATATTGCATAGTGTTCAGTGAATAAACATATGAACAATAGAATGTGTACATTATAACACTATCAGTCATGCAAAATAAGTTAGTGACCCCATATATTTATATTCTGGATATTCTTGTTGTATGTGATCTTCTGGTGTTTGTTTTTCACCTTATTTGCTCTTGAAAAATCGTGACCTGTGCCTGCTCACTGCCTCCTTTTTGTCAGGCCTTTCATACTGGCCACAGAGTGGTTCAGGCACATGTATTTTGTCCGAGGTGCTCTTGATACGGCACTGTATCCTGCACCACACACTCGAACAGCAGAGTCATCAGCTTATCAATGTAGACTGGGGAAAAAATACAACATAAATATTATAACAGCCCTCATTCATAACAGTCAAGTTTCTTTCATGACATACATGTGGTGAATTTGGTCTTCAGAGCTCTCACAGTATAGTCGCCATGTTTATATTTAGGATACACTATGGAGTACCTCAGCTCACCAGCAGCAGTTCTGGCGTGTGTGCGTGTCGCGTTCTCATTATAGTGCAACGCTGAGATTTGTAACCTAGAACAATCAAAACATAAATAAGAAAACAGTGATGTTATTTGGTTCAGTTTCCAAAAAATATATAATGAGGGAATAGAAATAAATACTTTTACAAGGTTTTGGTATTCATTACCTGGCCATCATTCCTTTAAAGGAGAAGCACACACTTTTCGGAGAGAACCTGATGATGAGGCTGTGAAATGCCTCAATGTAGGACGTGTGGTAACGTGGGCTGATTTTCTCCACGTCCTTCAGAAACCTCGGCGCCAGTAAAATGGCCGTTAGTCTTTCGCATGCTGCTGTGCCTACACACAAAATGATCAATGGAAATGTATTTTGGATTAGAAAGAAAATGCAAAATGTCCAAGATAACTAAATATATAATCAAAGAAAAACTGTCATTACTAACTTGGCTTGAGCCACTCCCTTGCTCTTTCCCCAACCAGTGGCTCGTGTTGGCAGCAGGGGAACAGGGCATTATCATGCGCGTGAATATTTTGTATGTGGTTGGCTACAGAGGTCCACTTGGCCACAGCTTCTTCTCCTGAGGAGGAAGTAGAGGCTGACCAGTAGAGGTGATTCACCACGCTCTTCCTCCATTGGCCCACATCCTGAGTGATCTTTTTCTTTGCCAGTCCATCTATTTTCTTCCCCATTCCTATGACATTTTTTTTATTACATGGATTAGATCTATATTATCTGTTAATTATACGCTAAATACATACCCTTTCCCATGTGCCAAGGGTCAAAATAGTGAGTGATGTCTTTTTTTTCCTCCCTTAGGTACTTCTGCACTCCTGTGTGTCTGTCCGTCACAATTGCCTGTACTTTCACACCCTTCTCTTCCAGCATGGTCAGACTGCGTATAAATCCTTCCTTCTCCATCCTTACACTGTTCCCAACTTCACTGCTCTGAAATACAACAGAATTATCTACATAAATGCGCCAAATGATTCCCAATTAATTGTTCAAATGTAAACATGGTGGTGTTTTACCTGGATAAGTTGGATGTCAATGACGCTGTTACTTTGCAGATTCATCATGGTGTAACTACCGTATTTAGCTGAATGTCCTGTAGAAATGCACATTACACTTGGCAAACTATTATTTAAAACATAAAAATCTTTGTTTATAAAGAAAAGATTTACCTGGAGAGTCAGCACGCATATCCCCACCCAGTGTCAAAGGCCCACCAGTAGCTGCCTCCCTGATTTTTTCGTCCTGCTCAAGCTTCCACTGCCAGCTGACCGTCGGGATGAGGAGCTTGGCCTGATGCTTGTAAAAAGTTTGCTCTGACAGTCCTTGAATGTTGAAAGCCCTCAGGAACTATGCAATATAAAGTAATATTACCAACTGACTTATGGAAACATTGTCAATACAGATAAGACGATTTATATACCTTGGAAATCTGACCAAAACACGAGCCAGTGAAGAGGACAGCAGCACAAAGCTGAAGATTTCCAGCTGGTATATCCTTCACCATGGGCTGACTGGACCAGTCATTGAAGTACTCACATGCTGGACACTGCTGTTTCACTCGGAGGAGTTTGCCCAATGTGGTTGTCTCAACTGTACAACGACGAGTGCAGACAGGACATTTTTGAAAGAGCGACAGCAGTTGGTCCTCATGAACAATGTACTTTCTGGCTTTGTGTGGAGGGACTTCCGTTGTAGCGCTATTATGTAGGAAGAGGCAAATGTAACCATTTAAGAGAATACAATATTTTCCAAGGTATATTTTTAAATAATACACAAGCATTCTTTTCCCCCATACATTTTTACCTTGAACAGTTCAGAGAACTGTCGTTCAGATGGAAGCTGGGGTCAGATGCAGACACCTCACACTTTTTTCTTTTCAAGGGTGTAGAGGCTGCAAGGGGACTTTCAGGAAGTGGGATTCCCATGAAGGTCCCTGTATCACAGGAAACGCTGACGCTCTTATGTGGAGCCTGCACCTGCAAGCCTGTTTAAAAGAACACAGATAAACACATTATTAATAGCACTCATAAATGGTTACATTAGCATCTAACAGCGAATCCAAAGTAAAATTAAACTCTTGTACTAGTGAATAATACAGACTGTTATAAAAGACAAATAACCTTTGCTGCGCCTGCTGGGCTTAACATTGGCCTGGACACAAGCGTGCCTGCTGATGATTGGATCCATCTGACAGGCCATTTCTCTGGTTGCTTTAGGCTGAAAACATAAGTAATAATATTAGTAATAAGTAATAGTAGTAAGGGAGGAAAGACTTATTTGTATAGTGGTATAGTAAGACTAATTTCTACAGTGTGGATGTTTCTTTGTAGTTTTGATCAGAGTAGTTTATGATCCCAGAACTACCTTGAAGCTTGTGCGCCAAGACCCACGTCTATTGTACATCTATTAAACAGGCTTTCTGCTAAATATTATGGTACATGACATGTGGAGTATTGGGGTAATATGTTACCTGGCTAGGACCTATTGTGAGTGCTTATTGATACGACGGAGATGAGGTCACGTGCGCTATAAAAATGTCCTAGCCACGTAATAACAGGGCATAACAAAACAAAACATCCATATAAATCCCCTTACATTAGCACACCTACGTGGACGTGAGGAAGATAAAAACAAACGCAAGTGACAGTCATGTCCTGGAGATCGCGTTGTTACAGCATAAACTCGTTACAAAAGCTAGCCCCTTCGCTAACACACTGGACAACAAAACCATGTAAGGTAATATACCGCGCTAACTACCGCGGACCTGCACAGTTTCCTCTCGGTCACAAGTCTACAGTCCGTCACCAAATGTCTCCAACAAAGACACAACATTATTATTATTATTATTACTCATTGTTTTTGCCCACTCACCTCAGAGTGGCGCCCGGAGTCTCCGTGGCTGGGCAGCAACGTCGGGAGCTCCTTCCTCGCTCGTGGAAGACCAAGAGTGGGAACAGCCTCGCTCTTCAGACGGAGCTTCGTAGTGAACCCCAGCCTCAAACTGCTAACTATAAAGGAATCACGAGGTTTGCAAACTCCAGATTTAGCAGCTATCCCCCAGGCCAATACGCAGAAAAGACTAGGGACGACTCTGGGAGAGAGGAGGCAGAAGCGGTATGTACCTTTGGTATGCACCATGTATTAATAACTTATATACAGTGACAGTGAGCGACAATATGAACAGTGAGAAACAGTGAATGGCCATTCATTACGATGCAATACTCGAGCAATAATATTTACAATACAGAAAATATACAAAGTTCCAGTAGACTTAAAAGTTAAAGTACTCTTGGTATTCAAGTAACTTTTGTGTGCAACAGACGCGACTTTAAGGTCAGTAAAGTGCGAGTGCATCCAAGCCCAAAGTTTCAACACAGAAATCCCAGAATTGAGATTCTCCAACACTGATTGCGATCGACGGATTTCGGAAGGAATGGGTAGTGTCCAAGGAGGAGTGTTGGGATATGATTCAGTTCAAAGGATCCCAATAAAGTGCTGTGTGCAAGAGTTCGATTTAGGCTGCGGGAGCCTCCTACCAGCCCCGGACCAGTGGTGGAGGAGGAGCTCCTTCAGGATCCAGAATCAGAGAGGTTCAGTTCCAGTGGACTCTAGCTCGCCATCACATGCCTGAACAACAGGACCATGTAAATCAATAATTTGTGTACACATATCAACCTCTTGTATAAATACAGCTTCTATAAATATACTTCGTATAACAAATGCAACTACATATCAAAGCTTTACATAACTTTGAATATAAGCAGAAACATTTCAGTTACTCACATGTTCAATAATTAATCATTATGGAAATATCAATCAATAAGCAATAATTCATATTTAAACCAGTTTCTAGTAAAAGTTACTCAACGTGTGTGTGCGTGTAGTTAGCGTCACACTGGCTGCAACTCCAACGAACAGCTTGTATAGGCAAAAAACGCCATAAAACTAGTTGGTTACACTCGTAACAATTGCTCACATCATACAGGAACAGTATATGTAGTTGTCATGACTCTTTGACAACACAGATTACTTTAAACATGAAAAGACTTGGCAAAACCACAATGCTAACTTTACAATGAAAGTCAATGTGAAATGCTAAGCTAACGAACTCAATACAAATTAATGGGGAACTCTGAAGTTAGCACAACTCACCAATTCCACGTGTAAACTCTAGCATACGCGGCAGTTTTGCAACGAATGACAGAAAGGCAGTCGGCTCCTGCATGTTAAATGAATCAAAGTAAGTTTCGTGACAGTTAATGATGATTTGGATGGTTAAAAGAGTTACCGTACCCGCAGCACATCCAAAGCACGCTCTGCTCTTGCAAGTACTGAACACTTCCAGCATAGCAGCTATATTGAACACTGATTGGGTGAACGTCGCGTCGAACGCAGTGACGTCATGCTCAAAGATAAAAACCCAACGCAAGATAATACAGTTTGTCAATTTGACACCTGCGTTACAGATGGATAAGACCAGGCTAAAACTGGGGTAGTCTTTCAGTTTTTCCATTGTGGTTTTACTGCAAATGGCAAATAAAATTCTTGTATACATTCTTTTGTCCCCTTTAAATGTGAACAAACCCTTCTTCACCTGTCCCTCACCGAGAAACCAACCCACAATCTGCTAATAGTTCCTCCCAGCTGCAGTAAACACCTGTAAAGTGATGAAGCAAACACGCAGAAGTCATTTATCTGTTGTTGGGACAAAGCAAACACATCCGTGATCCGTGTTCATGACCTGTTTCTTATGCATGACTAATAGAACGGTCCACATATTGATACTGGTGAGTAGCGCAGCATTTTAATGACCTTATTAGGGCCTTGGTGAAAGTAGGCCAAACATCTGAGCCTAGGTGAGCGGTGGTGCCGTGTGTCCTCTTCTCGTCGGGTAATTGGGTCTAACATTTATGATTCACTGAAGCTGGAAATTCAAATTAAAAGCAGCGCATTAGCAAACGGCGCTAGTGCAATTAGCCACACTTTGAAGTCTGGAATAATCGCAGAGAGACGAGAACCCCTGGGCTGCTCTGCCGACGGACCAGACCCCACTGATTAAAAGCAGGCGCTGAAGAAATGATGGGAGAATTTGCTGGACACAAATATGAATATGTTTTTTTTATTGGTTTGATCCACTCACGAGAATTTACAGCACATCACAAAGTATGTAGAGCCACACTGGTGCAATGGACTGTGATCCGGAACCAGAACCCAGACTCGTTACTTATAATTGTATGACCACGCAGGCCTAAAATCATCTGTAACACTCTGCAATGGTGTCGCAAGAACTGTGGCGAGATTATTACACTATACATTACAGAATGATGCACCGTGCACAGGACCAAAGACAGACGAAGAAGAATCTTTGAGGTTTATTCATATATAAAAAGTTGAATTAAACATATATATGTGCCGAACCCTTTAGAAGCACTCTTAAAGCTCTCAGTGAGAAGCAAGAGAAGACTTCTGGGTCCTCGTCCAGACTGACCATATCTCATTTTTACAGCTGTAGTAGTAGTAGTAGCTTTTATTATGTCCATTACATCTCAGGTCACATGTTTTCAAAGATCTTATATACATTTTACAATAATAAATAAAAAAAAAGAACTAAAATGTGTCTGTTAAGTTTGTTAGTGCTACCCTCAGGCAGTAAAGTGAGTACGTTGTTTGAACTTGGAACCATTTTTCACTATGATTTCCACAGTACACTTAATTATTTAAAATCTTGAATACTAATATACTGTACTGTACTGACTTGTAATAAAATAAATTGATTTTATATATTGCTATTATGGACACTCAAAGACACATGTTATTATACAGACTCCACACAGACTCATTCTAGTGCAATGTCTTGCCAAAGGACACATTTTACACCGACATCCGCCCGACTGCGGCACTGGCATATTAATACTGTGAGGTCTCCCTTCGCAGTATTGACCAGGTCCTGCCTTGCTTAGCTTCAGGGGTCTGATGGGATCTGGCTTTCACCTGCAGGTCACAAATAAATAAAAAAACATGTGAATTCTGATTCTGTCATAGGTCTTGGCCAATGGGACGCCTGATGACCGTTCACCTGTCGCTAACCCTTTGACCCAACCTTTGGCCCCTGGTTCTTCTCTCCTGCCCTCCCCGTGGACCCCCACATATCCCCCATTAGCCTTTAGCTCGGCACGCCAGCAGGTTAGCCGCGCTGCTAACATGATTAGTGCCTGGATCCTTTTGAAGGTGGCCTGGTAATGGTCCACGCGGGGAGCTAATCGTCCCTCCTCGGCAGCGACACTGGGGAGGGCCCGTGATTGAATGTGCCATATGCAGCGAGGATGATCCAATCAGGGTGCGGCGTGGCGGCGGCGAGCAGGACGTAGCACTTGGACGTCTCAGGATCAGGAGGTAATCATATCACTGGGTCTAATTTACTCTTGTTAATGGGAGCATTCATCGCACTAATGTAATGTTGGATTATTACTAAGGTGGAGCCGGGATTTGAACTGCCCTACACACGGCGGCTCTTTGTATAAATGTGATTGTGGATTCTGAGCTAGCTTGATTTAGCGGTTTACTTTTTCAGTTAGATGTGACGTTTGGAACTACACTCATTTCCATCAACAGTCGTCTTGGAGGACTTTACACCACTCCATTCACCAACAACAGATCAGAAATACTGTACAATATTAATTTTATTATTGTTTTTAATATTATAATTACTTTTTTTTAATTTAGATTCAATTGTAACTTGATATTTATTTATTTTTATTTTAACATTATTTTATTATTATTATATTTATTTTTTATTTTAATATTATTTTATTATTATATGATTTATTTTTGTAGATCATTTTGAACGTCTTATATATTTTTTTTTATTTCTTATTCATTTCTTATTTTTCAAAAGACTGCTTGTACTGTCTGTGGAGTTTATTTTATATACAGTAAGTGTCATGCACAAAAGACCCCAGCCCACATGGTCCATTACGACTCTGAAGCGACACCGTCTGAGAGCTGCACACCACATACAAACACAAACTAAACATGAGGAGGCTGCATTTCAGATTCATGCAGCAAAAATCTGGGACAATCTTCCTGAAAATGTGAGACAGGCCTCTTGTTTATGATTATATATGACAGCAAAAGAAAACTAATACGTCATGAATTACACATCAGAGAATCTAATCTGTTATTATAATACTTCCTTCTTTATTATGCTAATTTTAGTTATTGTTGACTTGTATTTCTCTGTGTTCTCCTCATTCCTCCTGCTCTGTAACCGGTGATACAACACTGACATTTCCTCGCTGTGGGACCGATACATCTTAAATTTGCATCTGCAGTGTCCTAAACCAAACCAGGAGAGGACAGAGGTGCAGCGGCGCCTGGGACTGGGTCAGTTCAGTCCCTGTTCAGTTGTGACACTTTGGCTTCTCTGAGTCTGGACTTGGACCGTCCAAGACCGAGAGGAGCCAAGACCGAGAGGAGCCAAGACCGAGAGGAGCCAAGACCGAGAGGAGCCAAGACCGAGAGGAGCCAAGACCGAGTGTCCCCTCTTCCTCTGAGCCTCTGACAGCTGTCCGTCACCGTCCAGGCTCCACATGTGACAAACAGCCCATCCTTCATGTGCCAAAAGCCCACTGGAAATAGCATCTGCTGTCAAGACTTCCACACGGGCTGGAAATGAGTGAGTGAGAGTAGTGTGGAGAGAGACCTGTTCCTTCTGTGACTGGCGATGCAACACTGAAATTTACCCACTGCGGGACGAATAAATGATCGCTTCATATTAAAGGTATAAAAGAGGATTTCCCCAAATTTTCAGAAAGAACCGCCTTCTCCACTTTTTGAACAAAACTCTCTGCTCTTATTGGACGAGCACGTATCACCAGAATGATTGACAGCTGGGAGGACCAATAGTCTTGATAATCAACCTGAAAGTAGAACATCCTCCTATATACTTTATCCCTTCAATGCAGCAGGTTTTATGTTATCATTTTAGCATTAATTAGCACAAAAAACTTTATATGCACCATTTACTCATTTCCTTCTTTTTGTAAAATGTAAAAGAACTTTAAAAACCAGAAACCAAACCCAAGAGCATCATGGGAGCCACTACAACAACAGCTCTGTCTATGATGTATCACATAATATAGAGCAGGGATGTCCAAACTCAGGCTCGTGGGCCCATTGCGGCCCTCTGTGCCTTTTATGTGGCCCTCTGCTGCTAACACAAAGTCACCATTGAGGCACTCTTACAGTGTCATCCAACCAACTTCAGCTCCACCCATACAGTCATGCTATACCTTGTTGTAAAACTCAGACCCTCTGGAATCCACTCTATTGTTATTTGATGACATGTGTTTTATGATTGTGTCACAACATTCAGAAAAAAATGCAGTTGTGAATCAATAAGGACGTATCATAACCATTTCAATTTCCAGAATCCAGTTAATCCAGCTCAAATCCAGTTTTTAAATCCAGATTTTTGGCCTCGAACTAACCTCACTGGTAAAGAAACATGTGGCGCAGAACTAAAAAAGGTCTCGTTATGATTCTCAAATCATTAACGACAAAACAAGGAATAAAACCAGGATTTCTATCTTTGTGAAAAAGGTGTTGGTTATAGATTTGTTGTTGACTAAACTCTTGTCTATTCAGCTGTTATGGTCCCAGCTGGATTCGTCTGCATATCTGGCAACCTGAGTCAGGGAGAGTGGGAGAGGCTGCAGTACCACTTTTGGCCACATGTTTACACACTGCTGCTTTAATTGACGACCGAAGAGATTTGAAAATGTTGAAATTCGCTCTAATTCGCCGCCTGCAGAGAAGCGAACACACACCAATGGCGGAGATTTAAAAAACATATTCTGAAACTTAATCTTTGACATTGAACCGGGCTTTTCACTCCGTCTGCGTCTCAGAATCTATTCAACATGTCGTTCTTGTGAGTTCATTGGATGGACCTGTGAGAACAAACACACAGCTCCGTTGCCAAGTTTTCACTGTTTTCATTAAGTAAAACTAGCTCCTGCTAATTACGCTAATTTGTATTTTCCCCATTGCATCAGGTCTCTCCGAACGGCAGAATGGAGAAGCAATTAGACCTGTCCCTTTTGTGTTCGGTTCAAATGCATCTTGTAAATAGACGGTTTATTTAGTGGTTGTAAAGCAGTGCATGGTTTTGATTAGAACTGAAATGTTGAGCTTCTTCATGGACTCTGGAGTAAAGTGGAGTTAGACAGAAGAGTTTATTCAACAGGATGCAGCTTAAAAAACTACTACTTATTTTAAAGTAGCAATATGTAAGATTTTCATGTAAAGTCATCATTAAAGGGCCCTATTCTGTCATCATTAAAGGGCTCTAATCTGTCATCATTAAAGGGCCCTATTCTGTCATCATTAAAGGGCTCTAATCTGTCATCATTAAATGGCCCTATTCTGTCATCATTAAAGGGCTCTAATCTGTCATCATTAAAGGGCTCTAATCTGTCATCATTAAAGGGCTCTAATCTGTCATCATTAAAGGGCCCTAATCTGTCGTCATTAAAGGGCCCTAATCTGTCATCATTAAAGGGCTCTAATCTGTCATCATTAAAGGGCCCTAATCTGCCATCATTAAAGGGCCCTGATCTGTCATCATTAAAGGGCCCTAATCTGTCATCATTAAAGGGCCCTAATCTGCCATCATTAAAGGGCCCTGATCTGTCATCATTAAAGGGCCCTAATCTGACATAATTAAAGGGCCCTAATCTGTCATCATTAAAGGGCCCTAATCTGTCATCATTAAAGGGCTCTAATCTGTCATCATTAAAGGGCTCTAATCTGTCATCATTAAAGGGCCCTATTCTGTCATCATTAAAGGGCTCTAATCTGTCATCATTAAAGGGCTCTAATCTGTCATCATTAAAGGGCTCTAATCTGTCATCATTAAAGGGCTCTAATATGTCGTCATTAAAAGGCCCTAATCTGTCATCATTAAAGGGCCCTAATCTGTCATCACTAAAAGGCCCTAATCTGCCATCATTAAAGGGTCCTGATCTGTCATCATTAAAGGGCCCTAATCTGACATAATTAAAGGGCCCTAATCTGTCATCATTTATTGGGCCCTAATCTGTCATCATTAAAGGGCTCTAATCTGTCATCATTAAAGGGCTCTAATCTGTCATCATTAAAGGGCCCTATTGTGTCATCATTAAAGGGCTCTAATCTGTCATCATTAAAGGGCTCTAATCTGTCATCATTAAAGGGCTCTAATCTGTCATCATTAAAGGGCTCTAATATGTCGTCATTAAAGGGTCCTAATCTTTCATCATTAAAGGGCCCTAATCTGTCATCATTAAAGGGCCCTAATCTGTCATCATTAAAGGGCCCTAATCTGCCATCATTAAAGGGCCCTGATCTGTCATCATTAAAGGGCCCTAATCTGTCTTCATTAAAGGGCCCTAATCTCTCGTCATTAAAGGGCCCTAATATGTCATCATTAAAGGGCCCTAATCTGTCATCATTAAAGGGCCCTAATCTGTCATCATTTAAGGGCCCTAATCTGTCATCATTAAAGGGCTCTAATCTGTCGTCATTAAAGGGCCCTAATCTGTCGTCATTAAAGGGCCCTAATCTGTCGTCATTAAAGGGCCCTAATCTGTCATCATTAAAGGACCCTAATCTGTCATCATTAAAGGGCCCTAATCTGTTGTCATTAAAGGGCCCTAATCTGTCATCATTAAAGGGCCCTAACCTGTCATCATTAAAGGGCCCTAATCTGTCATCATTAAAGGGCCCTAACCTGTCATCATTAAAGGGCCCTAATCTGTCATCATTAAAGGGCCCTAATCTGTCATCATTAAAGGGCCCTAACCTGTCATCATTAAAGGGCCCTAATCTGTCATCATTAAAGGGCCCTAATCTGTCATCATTAAAGGGCCCTAATCTGTCATCATTAAAGGGCCCTAATCTGTCATCATTAAAGGGCCCTAATCTGTCATCATTAAAGGGCCCTAATACTTCTTTAACTGATAACAGTAGTTCAGAGATATTTGAATTTCTAATTTACTTTTCCAGCCTCTAAATCTTGTTATTGTTTTCATTTCGATGTCCCGCCCTCCACCGTTTCACCAATCAGAAAGTCTGTGATCCGGGCGCCAGAACTCACCGAGTGGAGCTAATCTCACTGGTAAAGTACCATGTGGAGCTAATCTCACTGGTAAAGTACCATGTGGCGCAGAACTAAAAAAGGTCTCGTTATGATTCTCAAATCATTAACGACAAAACAAGGAATAAAACCAGGATTTCTATCTTTGTGAAAAAGGTGTTGGTTATAGATTTGTTGTTGACAAAACTCTTGTCTATTCAGCTGTTATGGTCCCAGCTGGATTCGTCTGCATATCTGGCAACCTGAGTCAGGGAGAGTGGGAGAGGCTGCAGTACCACTTTTGGCCACACTTTTTAAACTTTTATATTTTTTGAGGTTTTGCCTTTAGGAGTTCGATTAGCCATCCCTTTATTTATGCATTTCTGAGTCAGAGGGGCTTCAGGCAAAGTGGGGTTAAGTGTCTTGCCCAAGGACACAACGACAGCAGTCAGTGGTAGTTGGTGGAGAAGGGTTTAGGGTGAAACTGCAGACGCTTTCGGATCCAGAGAGACGGGTTTCCTTTTGTCTTTAGTATAATAAGAATATATCTGTGTCTGTGTGTAACAGTGGCTCATTGGCCTTTGAGCCTGAAGGTTGTGGGTTCGATTCTACCACGAGACCTTCTCCACCGACTCCCACTGATGTCTGCTGTCGTTGTGTCCTTGGGCAAGACACTTAATCCATTTTGCCATCAATCAATCAATAATCCAATTGCTATATTATACATTTTTATCAATTTTTTTCCAACACAAACTCTGATTAAATAACATTTTAGTGGCACTAGAATTTCAGCCGGATTTAAAAATGATCTCAACCGTCTCCAACTCTAAAAATTCAGTTTCAGAATCAATAACGAATTTTGAGTCCAATTCAAAGCATCGTTCCAACCGGAGCTTTTCTTAATAACACACATTCATTTATTTCTGTTTGGAGAATTTATTGGGTTTTCTGCGAGGCCAATAAATCACACACAGCTGAATAAATATGGGTCGGTGCCACAGACGGATAAATTATGGAGAGAATCATTACTTCACATTGATCTGGGCTCAGACAAAGTCAAGTTTAATAACTGCAGCAACAATTTGTGAATGTGTCACGGTCTGTGGACACGACTCTGATTAGGATCCGCGGCAGTGAAATGAAACGCCGTGTTTTTAACCTGCGACGGAACAATTGATCCAACAGAATGTCAACTTGACCCGGATTTATTTACTATTATCCATCCATCCATTTTCTGCCCTTTAATCCATTTCTGGGTCAGGGGGGTGGCAGTCAGAGATGCCACCCAAGTCTCATAGCACCAGCCCCTCACTGACCCTCTGCAGGTGGTGAGTCCACAGGAGGCTGCTCTCTGAGTGTGAGCATAGCCTTGATCTTTCAGTGGGGGCTTTGGGCAAAGTGGGGTTAAGTGTCTTGCCCAAGGACACAACATTATTGGTTAATCACGGAGCGAGTCGACCGCGAGGTTCTAGTTGTTAGTTAGAATGTCTCTCTTTCTCGAGCGGCTTCAACATAAATACATACAACATGTAAACACACACACACGAACACACACTCACACATAACAATTCACAGGTCATTAAGGATAAAAACCAATTATTAGATAAACACACACAAAAGACCTAAAAACTAGCCTGGTCGTACCACACCATAGTACTCATTTCATTTCATACTAAGGTCTGGATTTGTTCCATTGACTCCGTGAACAGGTGGGAGGGGTTAACTCCTTTTACAGATGGAAACCATTGGATCTGAGTTTACCGTGACGTATGTAAAGAGCCCGAGTCTGTAGTTAGCATTTAGCCTAGCTTTAGCATCTCCTTTGACGCTAACGGAGCCCGTGGGGAGTAGCGCCACAATCTTTCCAGAGATTACATTTGCTAAACATTCCTCTTGCTCCGGCTTCAGTTTCTTGATAGAACCAGACCAGAATACTTTACTGTCGCATTCTTCGCCAAACTACAACCTGCCCGTTCGACGCAAACTCTTGATGTCACCCACATCTAACTACAACACCCGCCTCCCGCGCTCTCTGATTGGTCGGATGGAATTCAACAGATTGTAATCCCAAACACCGGGACCAGACCCAGACGTTACCTGCAGGACATGATGATGGACCGGAGAGTACGGATGGATAAGACCAGGGTAAGTACTGTATGTGTGTGTGTAGCTCTCTCCACTGATGTCAGCTGTCGTTGTGTCCTTGGGCAAGACACTTAACCCCACTTTGCCTGAAGCCCCTGCTTAAAGACCAAGCCAGTATTATCACTGACCCAACCCAGAAATGGATTAAGCGGAAGAAGATGGATAAAACGGGTGAATCCCGGTCGGACCAGGGCCTTTCTGAGTGGAGTTTGCATGTTCTCCCCGTGTCTGCGTAGGTTTCCTCCGGGTACTCCGGTTTCCCCTACCACTAAAAATATGTCCAATAGTTCTGGCATGTGCCTCCTGTACTGGCCCCGCTCCCATCTCTGTGTGGAGTGAGAGACAAGTGCCCAAAAATAATAATTGTAAACCGCTTTGAGACTCTGGTCTGTGAAAGGCGGTATATAAATAAAGATTACTTACTTACTTACTTACTAATTTTTGTCATTAAATATTGTGTTGCTTTGGAAACTAGTCCTGGCTTTGGACCGTTCCAGAACCAGCAGCTTGAGAAAAGGGCTTTAACTGCCATAGAGTTGTTTGGCTACTGACCAAAAATGACAAAGGAAGCGGTCATAATGAGAGTTCTGGAAATTAGAAAGGTAGAACTACTCACATTTCAAAAATAAAAGATAATTTCATTGAAAAAAAAAAAAAAAAAAACTACATAGAGCCGTCAAATTGACTGCTCTGAGAATTCTAGTGTTAGGAAAGAAAATAACCTCTTTACCACAAAGAAAAAACGCAAGTTCCAGTTCGACCTGTTCAGAACCAGGGCCGAGCTGGGACCTGAACCAAAGATGAAAAAGTGTTGCTGGTCTCGACACTAAGCCAACCCTCAGTGGATAAATAAACGTCATTTCCATGGAATTTTGCAGCTCAAAGTTCTTCTGCATATTCATCGACACGTTTTGTAACTAACCCTAAATGTATCGTCTTCCGTCAACACTTAATCCAGACGGAACCTTTGCTCTGAAGTGGGAACAGCTCGTACAATCGCTGTCTAATTACTGCGGCAACACAAATTCAAAGGAGGCAAATAAATCTATGAATGACACATGTAATTAACATCCAGTGCATAGAGGATGAGGCCTGCGGCGGTACACGGCGGACGCAATCTGTGGATTTGGAGAGCGTGGGTTCCTAAATGAGGGTGGACGTACAGACAGGGAAACACTGAGCTGTGATTAGGGCTGTGAGGCGTTAACATGGTCTCTGCATCTCCAACACAAGAGACAGACACGGTAAAAATGTACATCTTTGTCCAATAGATGGTTTTAACAATGGGCCACTGTTTTAATAATGGGCCACTGTTTTAATAATGGGCCACTGGGTTCATGTTGTGGATTATAATGGATAAGATACGGGATTTGTATTTAACTTATTATCATGCGACATAAGGTTTACTTTTAAAATCACTGGAAACGACAGTAAGTCTTAAGTCTCCGAAACACTTATTTTTGTGTGTTTTACAATTGTTATTTAAGATTTTGCAGGGACTGGCCTCCTGCTGGGACTCTGAGGAGCACAGGGACTGGCCTCCTGCTGGGACTCTGAAGAGCACAGGGACTGGCCTCCTGCTGGGACTCTGAGGAGCACAGGGACTGGCCTCCTGCTGGGACTCTGAGGATCACAGGGACTGGCCTCCTGCTGGGACTCTGAGGAGCACAGGGACTGGACTCCTGCTGGGACTCTGAGGAGCACAGGGACTGGCCTTCTGTTTGTGCCCAGATTCAGAACTAAACTTGGGGAGGCTACATTTCAGATTCATGCAGCTAAAATCTGTAAGAGTCTTCCTGAAAATGTGAGACAGGCTTCTTCTCTGACATTGTTTAAATCCAGGTTATGTGTATATATTTATTTTAACGCCTTGTCTTGTTTCTATCCCGTTCTTGCCTTGTGTATGAACTGCCACGCCACTATTGTACACGATTTTGGTGGTAGCGGAAACCGGAGCACCCTCAGGAAACCTATGTAGACACAGGGAGAACATGCAAACTCCACACAGAAAGGCCTGGAAGTGGAATCAAACCCAACGAACCCAGAAAGAATCAACAAGTACTGGGCTCATACATTCTTTTACTACTTGTTGCAAATGAACATAGCAGAGTAGCTCGGGCAGTGTGACAATAGACAGCTTTAGTTCCACAAAGAAACAGCATTTTGAAAACCCGGGAAAGCTCAGTAAATGATTTCTTCGCAGCAGTGCGGACTCTGAATAGGTGCAAGTCCTTGGGCCCGGCAGCAGATCCATTATGTCAGAGGGCAAGTCCACACAATTGGTCTCCTTTTCTTTCCGAGCGCCGCTGAGACTTCCCATCAGCCCTTGCACCGAGCTCCCTCCCTGATAGAGGCGAGTCGGTTGTGGTCATTCCTCTCTGTGCGAGCGAGAAAGAGAAGGCAGGTCATTTACTAATCTCCCCAAAGCTGCCGTCACCGCAGGCTCAGGTCTGGACACACGGAGAATACTGCACGGGAAATACTGGACTGGATCAGGACCTGGATCAGGACCTGGAGTCGGTCTGGTCTGAGTTTTAAGTGGAACTGCGGGATTTTTGTGTGATTTTAGTTCTCATGGATGGTGGAGGTGGACAGACTGAGCTATATACATTTAATTCAACTGCTTTACAGACTCTATAGGTCCTATTTAAAACAGACAGACAAGACAAACATGAACATTTGGGACGGGGGCGGCACGACACCTGGGTTCGAATCCCGGTCGGAACAGGGCCTTTCTGAGTGGAGTTTACATGTTCTCCCCATGTCGGCGTAGGTTTCCTCCGGCTGCTCCGGTTTCCCCTATCCCTCAAAAACAAGTACAATAGGTCTGTGCCTCCTGTACTGGCCCCTCCCTTCTCTGTGTGGAGTGACAGACTAATGCATAAAAATAACAATTGTAAACCGTTTTGTGACTCTGGACTCAGGCGGTATATAAATAAATATTACTTACTTATTTAAAAGACAGTCATTCCATCCATTGTCTTCCCATGTCTGGGTGGGGGGACTGCCACCCCAGTCTCAAAGCACCAGTCCCTCACTAACCCCTGCAGGTGGTGGGTCTGTCAGTGAGAGCATACCCTTGGTCTTTCAGCGGGGGCTTCAGGCAAAGTGGGGTTCAGTGTCTTGCCCAAGGACACAACGACAGCAGACATCAGTGGGAGTGGGTGGAGAAGGCCTGAGCCACTGTCGCCCCGATACATACGTCAGTTTAGATACAATAAGTTAACATTAGGAAAAGTGTCAGATTACTGGAGTTTTAATAACACCATGTTTTGTTTGTTCGAGTCTCTCCAGATTTATTCTCTTTTCCTGTTTCTAAATCTGAGAGCTATTTATAAGATTAAGATTAAGATATACTGTATTGGTCCCACAGCGGGGAAATGTCAGTGTTGCATTACAAGTTATAGAACAGTAGGAAAGAGGCGCAGCATTAGACACAGTAAGTGAACAAGAGCTGTACTAAATAAAATCAAACTAAATCTTTAACTCTAGCATCAATAACAGTATAAAAGCAACAGAAGAGGAAGAGAGATACTCTTTTTTGGAGCCATAATGAAAATCTATTTGATAATTATGACAAAACATGGAAAACAGATGTAAAAATGTACCATACTACTGTTATATTTATAAGTATTGACTCAAAAGTGAATTATTCAAGATCATGTTAAATTCTAAATCATTTGGGGAGCTACCTGAAAGGGGCTGGTGAGATACTGGTTGGAGACCCCTTTTCTCCAATCAATCAAAAATAAAACCAGCTGTTAAAAACCGATTTTGTCCACGTTCCTTGGTTTTGGAGAACTCCTTCTGAAACCTTTCCTTGCCACAGTTAAATGTGTTTAAGTAAATGCAAACTCTAAACAAAGCGGCTCTATTTATTTAAAGCCACAGTTTTTTTCAGGCCGTTATGAAGAGAAATGAGCACTCACACACGGCGGCTGTTTATGGAGCGAGGCTGCGGCTAACAGCAGTGCATTATGGGTAAGTGGGAGGAGGAGGCTTTTCTCTGTTAAGAACACGACGTCTATCTCACACAATGATCATTAGGAAAAACAGCTTCGGCCTCAGAGCAGAGAGAAGTAACTCCGGCTTTGTCTGACTCCCAGAGCAGTCAATTTGACGGCTTTTAGTTTCCACGGCGATATTACTCGCCGTATGTACCTTGTTGATCTCCATAACGTCACTTTTTCTACTTTTTACTTAGTTCTGTATGTAGTTTATTTATATGTTGATATTTTTATGAAATAGCTCTGATGTGTTTGTTATTATTACATTTTCTTAATTTCCACCTGCGCAACATCTCCAAGTTCAGACACATGGTCTCAGACACATGGTCTCAGACACATGGTCTCAGACACATGGTCTCAGACACATGGTCTCAGGTCAGGAGCTGGAGATGATTGTACACGCTTTTGTTTCCTCGCGATTGGATTATTGTAACAGCTGCTTACATGTCTTAATAAGAAAGACCTGGCTCGTTTACAAGTCGTCTAAAATTCTGCTGCGAGGCTTTTGACCTGCACCCACAGGAGAGCACCCACAGGAGAGCACCCACAGGAGAGCACCCACAGGAGATCACCCACAGGAGAGCACCCACAAGAGAGCTACCACAGGAGAGAGCACCCACAGGAGAGCACCCACAAGAGAGCTACCACAGGAGAGAGCACCCACAGGAGAGCTACCACAGGAGAGCACCCACAGGAGAGCTACCACAGGAGAGAGCACCCACAGGAGAGCACCCACAGGAGAGCACCCACAGGAGAGCTACCACAGGAGAGAGCACCCACAGGAGAGCACCCACAGGAGAGCACCCACAGGATAGCGCCCACAGGAGAGCACCCACAGGAGAGCATCCACAGGAGAGAGCACCCACAGGAGAGCTACTAGAGGAGGGCACCCACAGGATAGCACCCACAGGAGAGCATCCACAGGAGAGCACCCACAGGAGAGCTACCACAGGAGAGCATCCACAGGAGAGCACCCACAGGAGAGAGCACCCACAGGAGAGCTACCACAGGAGAGCACCCACAGGAGAGCTACCACAGGAGAGCATCCACAGGAGGGCACCCACAGGAGAGAGCACCCACAGGAGAGCTACCACAGGGGAGCACCCACAGGAGAGCCCACATTACTCCTATCTTGAAGGCCTTACACTGGCTCCTGTCTCACACAGAATCAATATTAAAATTCTGGTGCTGACATTCAGGGCTCTTCATGGTCAGGCGCCTGAATACATCCAGGGCCTGATCCACCCTTATGTCTCCAACAGAACCCTGAGGTCCTCCACTCAGAACCTGTTGATGGTCCTCCACTCAGAACCTGTTGATGGTCCTCCACTCAGAACCTGTTGATGGTCCTCCACTCAGAACCTGTTGATGGTCCTCCACTCAGAACCTGTTGATGGTCCTCCACTCAGAACCTGTTGATGGTCCTCCACTCAGAACCTGTTGATGATCCTCCACTCAGAACCTGTTGATGGTCCTCCACTCAGAACCTGTTGATGGTCCTCCACTCAGAACCTGTTGATGGTCCTCCACTCAGAACCTGTTGATGGTCCTCCACTCAGAACCTGTTGATGGTCCTCCACTCAGAACCTGTTGATGGTCCCCCACTCAGAACCTGTTGATGGTCCTCCACTCAGAACCTGTTGATGGTCCTCCACTCAGAACCTGTTGATGGTCCTCCACTCAGAACCTGTTGATGGTCCTCCACTCAGAACCTGTTGATGATCCTCCACTCAGAACCTGTTGATGGTCCTCCACTCAGAACCTGTTGATGGTCCTCCACTCAGAACCTGTTGATGGTCCTCCACTCAGAACCTGTTGATGGTCCTCCACTCAGAACCTGTTGATGGTCCTCCACTCAGAACCTGTTGATGGTCCCCCACTCAGAACCTGTTGATGGTCCTCCACTCAGAACCTGTTGATGGTCCTCCACTCAGAACCTGTTGATGGTCCCCCACTCAGAACCTGTTGATGGTCCTCCACTCAGAACCTGTTGATGGTCCTCCACTCAGAACCTGTTGATGGTCCTCCACTCAGAACCTGTTGATGGTCCTCCACTCAGAACCTGTTGATGGTCCTCCACTCAGAACCTGTTGATGGTCCTCCACTCAGAACCTGTTGATGATCCTCTACTCAGAACCTGTTGATGGTCCTCCACTCAGAACCTGTTGATGGTCCTCCACTCAGAACCTGTTGATGGTCCTCCACTCAGAACCTGTTGATGGTCCTCCACTCAGAACCCGTTGATGATCCTCTACTCAGAACTTGTTGATGGTCCTCCACTCAGAACCTGTTGATGGTCCTCCACTCAGAACCTGTTGATGGTCCTCCACTCAGAACCTGTTGATGGTCCTCCACTCAGAACCTGTTGATGGTCCTCTACTCAGAACCTGTTGATGGTCCTCCACTCAGAAACTGTTGATGGTCCTCTACTCAGAACCTGTTGATGGTCCTCCACTCAGAACCTGTTGATGGTCCTCCACTCAGAACCTGTTGATGGTCCCCCACTCAGAACCTGTTGATGGTCCTCCACTCAGAACCTGTTGATGGTCCTCCACTCAGAACCTGTTGATGGTCCCCCACTCAGAACCTGTTGATGGTCCTCCACTCAGAACCTGTTGATGGTCCTCTACTCAGAACCTGTTGATGGTCCTCCACTCAGAACCTGTTGATGGTCCTCCACTCAGAACCTGTTGATGGTCCCCCACTCAGAACCTGTTGATGGTCCTCCACTCAGAACCTGTTGATGGTCCCCCACTCAGAACCTGTTGATGGTCCTCCACTCAGAACCTGTTGATGGTCCTCCACTCAGAACCTGTTGATGGTCCTCCACTCAGAACCTGTTGATGGTCCTCCACTCAGAACCTGTTGATGGTCCTCCACTCAGAACCTGTTGATGATCCTCTACTCAAACCTGTTGATGGTCCTCCACTCAGAACCTGTTGATGGTCCTCCACTCAGAACCTGTTGATGGTCCTCCACTCAGAACCTGTTGATGGTCCTCCACTCAGAACCTGTTGATGATCCTCTACTCAGAACCTGTTGATGGTCCTCCACTCAGAACCTGTTGATGGTCCTCTACTCAGAACCTGTTGATGGTCCTCCACTCAGAACCTGTTGATGGTCCTCTACTCAGAACCTGTTGGGTTAGGGTTAACCATCAACAGAACCTGTTGATGGTCCTCCACTCATAACCTGTTGATGGTCCTCCACTCAGAACCTGTTGATGGTCCCCCACTCAGAACCTGTTGATGGTCCTCCACTCAGAACCTGTTGATGATCCTCTACTCAGAACCTGTTGATGGTCCTCCACTCAGAACCTGTTGTTGGTCCTCCACTCAGAACCTGTTGATGGTCCTCCACTCAGAACCTGTTGATGGTCCTCCACTCAGAACCTGTTGATGATCCTCTACTCAGAACCTGTTGATGGTCCTCCACTCAGAACCTGTTGATGGTCCCCCACTCAGAACCTGTTGATGGTCCTCCACTCAGAACCTGTTGATGGTCCTCTACTCAGAACCTGTTGATGGTCCTCCACTCAGAACCTGTTGATGGTCCTCTACTCAGAACCTGTTGGGTTAGGGTTAACCATCAACAGAACCTGTTGATGGTCCTCCACTCATAACCTGTTGATGGTCCTCCACTCAGAACCTGTTGATGGTCCCCCACTCAGAACCTGTTGATGGTCCTCCACTCAGAACCTGTTGATGGTCCTCCACTCAGAACCTGTTGATGGTCCCCCACTCAGAACCTGTTGATGGTCCTCCACTCAGAACCTGTTGATGGTCCTCCACTCAGAACCTGTTGATGGTCCCCCACTCAGAACCTGTTGATGGTCCTCCACTCCGAACCTGTTGATGGTCCTCCACTCAGAACCTGTTGATGGTCCCCCACTCAGAACCTGTTGATGGTCCTCCACTCAGAACCTGTTGATGGTCCTCCACTCAGAACCTGTTGATGGTCCTCCACTCAGAACCTGTTGATGGTCCTCCACTCAGAACCTGTTGAGGGTCCTCTACTCAGAACCTGTTGATGGTCCTCCACTCAGAACCTGTTGATGGTCCTCTACTCAGAACCTGTTGATGGTCCTCCACTCAGAACCTGTTGATGGTCCTCCACTCAGAACCTGTTGATGGTCCCCCACTCAGAACCTGTTGATGGTCCTCCACTCAGAACCTGTTGATGGTCCTCCACTCAGAACCTGTTGATGGTCCCCCACTCAGAACCTGTTGATGGTCCTCCACTCAGAACCTGTTGATGGTCCTCTACTCAGAACCAGTTGATGGTCCTCCACTCAGAACCTGTTGATGGTCCTCTACTCAGAACCTGTTGGGTTAGGGTTAACCATCAACAGAACCTGTTGATGGTCCTCCACTCAGAACCTGTTGATGGTCCTCTACTCAGAACCTGTTGATGGTCCTCCACTCAGAACCTGTTGATGGTCCTCCACTCAGAACCTGTTGATGGTCCCCCACTCAGAACCTGTTGATGGTCCTCCACTCAGAACCTGTTGATGGTCCTCCACTCAGAACCTGTTGATGGTCCCCCACTCAGAACCTGTTGATGGTCCTCCACTCAGAACCTGTTGATGGTCCTTTACTCAGAACCTGTTGATGGTCCTCCACTCAGAACCTGTTGATGGTCCTCTACTCAGAACCTGTTGGGTTAGGGTTAACCATCAACAGGTTCTGTTGATGGTCCTCCACTCAGAACCTGTTGATGGTCCTCCACTCAGAACCTGTTGATGGTCCTCCACTCAGAACCTGTTGATGGTCCACCACTCAGAACCTGTTGATGGTCCTCCACTCAGAACCTGTTGATGGTCCTCCACTCAGAACCTGTTGATGGTCCTCCACTCAGAACCTGTTGATGGTCCTCCACTCAGAACCTGTTGATGGTCCTCCACTCAGAACCTGTTGATGGTCCTCCACTCAGAACCTGTTGATGGTCCCCCACTCAGAACCTGTTGATGGTCCTCCACTCAGAACCTGTTGATGGTCCTCCACTCAGAACCTGTTGATGGTCCTCCACTCAGAACCTGTTGATGGTCCTCCACTCAGAACCTGTTGATGATCCTCTACTCAGAACCTGTTGATGGTCCTCCACTCAGAACCTGTTGATGGTCCTCCACTCAGTCCCTGTTGATGGTCCTCCACTCAGAACCTGTTGATGGTCCTCCACTCAGAACCTGTTGATGATCCTCTACTCAGAACCTGTTGATGGTCCTCCACTCAGAACCTGTTGATGGTCCTCCACTCAGAACCTGTTGATGGTCCTCCACTCAGAACCTGTTGATGGTCCTCCACTCAGAACCTGTTGATGGTCCCCCACTCAGAACCTGTTGATGGTCCTCCACTCAGAACCTGTTGATGGTCCTCTACTCAGAACCTGTTGATGGTCCTCCACTCAGAACCTGTTGATGGTCCTCTACTCAGAACCTGTTGATGGTCCTCCACTCAGAACCTGTTGATGGTCCTCCACTCAGAACCTGTTGATGGTCCCCCACTCAGAACCTGTTGATGGTCCTCCACTCAGAACCTGTTGATGGTCCCCCACTCAGAACCTGTTGATGGTCCTCCACTCAGAACCTGTTGATGGTCCTCCACTCAGAACCTGTTGATGGTCCTCCACTCAGAACCTGTTGATGGTCCCCCACTCAGAACCTGTTGATGGTCCTCCACTCAGAACCTGTTGATGGTCCTCCACTCAGAACCTGTTGATGGTCCTCCACTCAGAACCTGTTGATGGTCCTCCACTCAGAACCTGTTGATGGTCCTCCACTCAGAACCTGTTGATGATCCTCTACTCAGAACCTGTTGATGGTCCTCCACTCAGAACCTGTTGATGGTCCTCCACTCAGAACCTGTTGATGGTCCTCCACTC